AAAGCAGGGCTGTCAACCTCCTGACTTCTCCTGGAAGTTCTAGTGCAGATTCTTCAAAACTCCATCTGTATATATCTCAGGATGCTGTTTCCTCAAAAAGGCTTTGGGATGAAGGGAAGGTATTCAGATGAATAACCAGTTTTCTTGCTGTGTTTGTATTTCAGGGACCGTCAAGCTTATTCACTTCTGATCTGTGCAGAGCAATTTCCCTTCAGCATGTTTGCTTCTTGTGATAGTCTTCCTCTTTGGACCTGACAATCTCCAATTGGTAGAGTCACCTGTTCTTTGTCATTTGTCAGACAGTTTCAGAGTGAAATTTTCAAAGTGGATTTTGGCACAGAAGGCAATTCCACTGGTTTTAAAGTCATCACCTTGTCTTTTGGTTTATTTAATTTTATAGAACGTAATTGATGGGAGATCAAATACCATTCATCTCACAGATTGAGCAAACATACAGTGACTTCAGTGTCTAGGGTATTGATAAATCGTTCTTTCGAGGTTGGGCTGTCTTTTGCCTTCTGAAGGGTACACCAAACTGGCTCTTTCTGCAGCCACTGCAGATTGCAAAGTCTTAGAATGTTTTAGAAAAATGGGGCTTGAACTGCACCATGAAGCAAGAAACCTTATAGAGAAAGAAAGAAATGGAGCCAGGATTTCCTTTAACATAAGGCTAGCCTAGTTCCATGCCAGATCCAAGAAGAGAGCCCAAACCAGACAGTCAAAATGAAGGATCATGAACTGAGATGGGCTTTTACCCTATTTAGGAAACATCATTGACTGACAGAAGCAAGTTTGTACCAGATGTGGGATAGATAACCAGAAATTATCTAGAAGGTTTCCACTTCAACTCCCGACAACCTTTCCTCTAAATACTAATCCTTATAGTCCAAAAAAATCAAGAAGGCATCAGGATACTCACTTACATATACATTACTATATAAACCTATATATACTATAGAATATATACCACTAGCAACTTCATATTTAATGGATAAAAATAACAATGTTTGCTCTAACTATGGATGACTTCAAGAACATATTACTCTGGGATTTTAGTTTTTAATTAACCTTGCCTTGTACTTTCACTGTTTGCGCTCTCTCTCTCCCCCCCCTCCCTCTCTCTTCTTCTCCCTCCCTCCCTCTATTTCTCCCTCTTCTCTCTCTCTCCTCTGAATAATTACTCTCATTGGTTTTCACCTTCAACTTTCATATATAAGTGACTCTTTACTCCTTCATCCATCTTTTGGGGATCAAAGACAGATTTAGGAATCTGAAACAATTGGTATTAATTGTTATGGAGATGGCTAATCTATGGATCCTTGCCTCCTATCTATTGTACAGAGAAAACAATGGTAGGACAAAAACAGCTTTTCTCAAAAAGGATTTGTCACCTCCATCACTGTCAGAAAAACAAATCAGCTTTTTAGTGAACAAATGAAGTTGTTTAAATATCTGGGCTTTTCCTTTCAACTCCCAGGAGTCTGGAAAAAAAAACACCATGGGCTACTTTTGTACAGGTCCACAGATTTTCTAATGTTATTTTTTTGCATTACATCAACTCTAAGGGTAGCAATTATGTGGCCTGAACCATAATAATTTTCAGAGAGAAAGTTATTAGAGTTCTGTTACATAGCACATGGGTTTGCAATCAGTGTAACCCAAGCCTTCAAAAGAAAAAAGAAAAAAAGTCCAATGGCATTTTTAAGAACATTGCTGTGAATACCCAGGTCTCTTCTGAACTCTTGATGACATTTGACAACTAGGTTGTTCTCTATAGAGGATCTTGTGTGGTTCCGATGCCTCAAATCCTGGCTTCAGTTACTTCTTCATCAATAGCTCCCTATTTTTTCCTGATCTTACCTAACAAATGGGGGAAAGGTGTAGATTTGAACTTAACCTTTTATGTCATAATGGTTCAATTGGTTGACCTCAGTCAGCCTTGAGAGGGTATTGCTGAATTAAACAAGAAGTTGTTATTGGTGAATTTGTTTTTACCAAGGTTATAAATCATATACGCATTGCTTTTAAAAAATTTTTATACTATTGTATTTATTGTTGGTTTCTCTGATGTAGATAACGATATAAATTGAAATGATAATGATGATAAGATAGTTAGATGGTAGATATGGATTTCAAGTACCACAACGTTCGGTGGGAATTATTTTTTGCCACGCTTCTGCTATTTTCCTATATCTAAAGTTAGATTATGACCGGATTTCAGATTAAAATATCTGTATTAATTATTCATTCTTTGATAAATCAAACAAATGGCATAGGAAATCCCCCATTAAGAACTTAATTTTCAAAAATTTAGCAAAACTATTCCGAAGTTGATACTGTATGTTTCATATTTCACTTAAGAGTTGAAATAACAACTTCTGATGTTGAGGGAGACTTGAAAATGTTAGTCTATAATTTCTTTATGGTACTGCTATTCAGCTTTTCAAATTCATTTTGTTGTCAACTAACTTATATTGCTGTTTCAGCAGTTCAGAGGGAGATCTACCCATGGCATGGAAGACAGGCTATGGGAGACCATGTAATACACCTGCATAGGTTGTTTTCCCACAATGAAAAAGATGAGAAATGGGATATATTATGATCATCCATAGATCTACAGTTCCCAGGTCCCTGGTTCCAGACACCTCACCCTAGCCCCCCAAAAGAACCCTCAAGTATATCAATCCTGAAATAGCTTTTTCTTCCCATTAATTGCAATGGATCAGAATGTCTCCCTGCTTTTATAGATAATACATTTCCCCCTTTTTTGACCTGCTAATTGTAGAAACAAATAGCCTTCCCAATACACCCCCCCACACACATTTAGAAACACTGCAGTGCTAAGTCTACCTTAATACACCATCAAGGCAGTTTTGAAAGTGATACAAATAAGAAGTGGGAATAGACAGGTTTATATTTCATCAACTGTGTCAAAAACCACATGATTCTTTCAGATCAGAAATCTTCGCAAATGCATCTGATTGTGGGCTACACAAAATACCAGAGAGAAGAGCCATTGCTCTGACCAAGATGTTTCCCAAGGTCTCATTTGTTTAGGAGGCCACAGAGTTAGATCTATCTATCTATCTATCTATCTATCTATCTATCTATCTATCTATCTATCTATCTATCTATCTATCATCAAAATATTTATCTAACTATCTATTGTAGTTCTTTTTAACAGTTATGTATGTATATTTATATTTGTAAATCATTTATATAGCTGTCCATCTTTCAACCAACTCTGTTCAAGTTCTAGTATTAGGTTGATGATGGTGAGGATTAAATACAGCAAAAACAGAAAAAAATGTAGCAAGATCTTCTTCATCTGAATCTTTAGGAATTAATTAGGAAAAAAACCCTATCCTTGTTGCAGAAAATGGCTTGTATAGAAAGAAGCACCTGAAATTAATCGCCCACTCTTTTTTCAGTGTAATGCTTTTTACAGTATCAATTTTATTGCACAGCTTCAGATTCATCCTTCCAATAGTTGCACCTTATCCGCAAGGCATTAGGTATAAGGCATCTGTATTAGGTAGTTTGGTATAGTTTAGTGCATATCAACCCACAGCATCAAAGGCATCTTATGCCAAACACATGATGCAATTTTAAAAAAAAAAAAAGGCAATCGTGTGAAAAGTGCTTCATTTTTAAAAAGATCTCATTTCTTTAAAGAATGCTATATGAAAAACAAGGAAGTGATATTTAGCAATGCATTTTGAATGATTCACGCACACAGATACGCAAATGCTGCTTTGACTAAAACATACCCACCCTGCTCCCAATTGCATGGAAAAATGATCCAAGGCAACAATGCTTCAAGCTTTGCAAAATGAAAAGAACATGTACAACAATGGAAAATAATTTTTGCCTAGAACAATAGCTCTGGGAAAGGTGGCACAGGCCAGGGCTTGTTTCTTCCTTTTGATTTTGCAGATAGATGCCCTCCCACCATCTGAAAGTATTAATGGAGTTGTAATTTAAGAAGTTTGTTACAAACACCTTTGATTTTTTTTAAAAATGAATGTGGCTGCAACAAATAGATCTGACCTCAAGATCTTTGATCTAAAATTTGGCATAAGCACTACATTGTATTGTAATAAAATATATAAAACCATAGAGAAGGAAACCATTGTGTACACCATGAGAAACTGGATGAGGAATAAAATGATATGGCTGGTGTTTATGAGATTGGCAAAATAATCCTATGCGTGCTTACTCAAATCCTATTTTATTCCATGGTCTTTACTCTTTAGGGAATAATACTTAGGATTGCAAACCTAAAGCTACTATGTAAGCTTGCACGCTTTGAAGTAAATAATTAGAGTGCAATTTATTTACAAGACCTAGGAGAGTATTATTTCTGTTCCTTAAATTTTCCCAGCCATCATTCTGAGTACCATTATGACCTCCAGAAACTGCAATTGCAGTGCCTGTAGGGGACAACATACCCAAACTAGATAAGAGAAGTGACAGAGGGAGGGAGGGAGATAAAGAATTTCCAGAATTCTTCATGTGAGATCCTAGAAAACTCATGTGAAATTTAGCTGGCTTGAACCAGAGAAGAAAAATGTGATCAGTGAACTCTTTCATCAGTGAATATAAATCGCTGTGATGTGCTCCTTCTAGATCAACAGCTTTAAAGCTCTTAAGAGCATCCCAGAGAGCAAAAGGTACATTGTTGACAATTTGAGGAGAAAATGGATATGCACACTTGGATGTCCACAACTGATGGACAGCCACTCTGACCCAGGAAGAGCTTAATTCACACACTGTATCTGTAGCATATATGGATGCCTATTTGGCTCAGAAGAACACGGTTAGCTATGACCCGCTCCTTTTACTGGCTCTCAGGTTCTTTAGACTTTTTCCATCACTCCCCGAGGCAAAGTCTGGGGGGAGTGCAGCTCCATTGACTGCCTCCTGCGAACTTCACGCTCTTCCCAGTCCTCCTCTGGCTCATAGCCTTTGAAGATTGCTAGCCTCTCCGACAGAGTCTTTCTATGAGGGAAGAAAGCATAATTGTAGAGCAAGGAAGCCACCACTGCTCCAACCATGGGACCCAGCCAGAAGACCTGTGCATGGAAATGACAACATGAGAGAGACTCAGAAGATGGCAGAGACCATGATTACTCTTGGGTAATACAAACAAGCAAAATAACAATAGCAATAGCACTTATATACAACCCCATGGTGCTTTACAGTACTCTCTGAGCAATGTTACATTGCCCACCAACAATTTGGGTCCTCATTTTACTGACCTTGTAAGGGTGGAAGGCTGAATTGGTCAGGATCAAACTCACGGCTGAGGGCAGAATTAGACTGCAATACTGCATTCTAACCCTGTGCCACCATGCCACTACCAAAGACAATAGGTAGCTTTATTTGAGTTAAACACCATCATTTCATCCACATTTTATTCTATGGACAGGAAGGATGTCATTAAAATAGATTTAAAGTAATTTATTGGAGAAGTCAGGGAAAGAATGGCAGGCTGCTTCCTTCCCCACCATCCCTCCCCATATATATGGATTCTGGCCTCAAGAGTCAATTAGTGAATTCAGTGATTCTACACTCCTTTTTTTTTCTTCTCGTTTTAGTTTTTATTTTATTTTATTAAATATGTTTGCTGTCCATCTCGCTATTTTTGAAGGCCTCCTTCTTCCCTTTAGTTATTTCTCCGAATCACTTATCTTCCTAGGTTTCTCCAGCATTTACAAAGCCATGAAACTCCTGATAACTTTTGATCCTTGCATCTGGAATTCCTTCTTCTTTGACTTCCAAACCTTCCTGCGTTGCCCTGAGGTGTGAGTAACTCAGTCAACAACAGCCAGAGAGCCTTCTGCTCATAACTCAGCTCTTGGTGACCATGGAGCAGCTAAACTAATGATCACTAGTTAATCAATAATATAATAATCCTTAATGGTAATTCTGGAATCAGCATACATTACAACTCCTCATCACAGTGGTTTTCAATCTGTTTCCAATCCAAGAAGCTTCATCCAATTGTCTGACCTTTCTCATCAAGGAAACCAGTTACAAAAGCTTCTCTGCAAAGTATATTCAAGCAACGGGCAATGGGGTTTATAGTTAAGTGGCCCTTCGTTTGGAAAGCACCAGTTTGGGGAATGTGGAGTATAGAATGCCAAAGTACATCCACCCAACTGGAAAAGCAAACAAGGTATTATTTCCTGTTATTCAGATGTCAGTGCTGAGTTACTTCATACCTTCCAACTAAGGCAACATAACTAAGATGCTAAAAGTGCAGCTGGGGAGTTCATGGACAACTGCCAAAGGATTTTGCTTCCTTCATTCTTTCACTTCATTGAATATGAATGTTAAAAGTCTCCAAAAAAAACCACGCACACACACACACACAAAACAAAGTCACATCCACTAACAAACTGGCCTGAAACTGGTTGAAACAAGAGCCTGAAATGTTCACATTACAGCTGGAATGGGGTGCTAATCCATTGCCAAACCATTGAAAAGTCTTCTCGTTAAAAAAATTGTATGCCAGTTGTAGCCCTTCTTAGAAGAGGAGGCTTTGCTGTCAATCATTCATACTTTAGTCCCTTCCTGCTTTGACTATTGTAATGTAATCTAAATGGGGCTGTTGTTGAAGAACATTTGGAAGCTGCAGTTGGTCTATGCGCAACAGTACTGCACTGTTTAGGATTCACCTGGCATTCCCAGGTAGCATCTCTGCTCATAAACTGCACTGATTTCCAATATGCTTCTGGGTACAATTTAAATTGTTAGAGATCACCTGTAAAGTCCTACATGGCACTGAGCCAGATTCTTCATGGCACTGCCTATTCTCAGTTATTTCTGGCCAGTGATAGTTCTTTCCTTCTTGTAAGGTTATGCTTTAATTCCTGAGCTAACATGACTGGAGGAGGAATTCTGGGAGTTGAAGTCCACAAGTCTTAAAGCTGTCAAGTTTGAAGACCCCTGTTTAATCAGAGGCTTGCAGAGAGACACTTTGTGCTGCTGGAAGAAATGGACAGGACTACATGGCCAGAGCAGATGGTTTCATCTTGTTTCATGCACCTTGCCTTTTGCCTTGGGTATATGGCATTCATTCCTCTGTATTCAATAATTCATGTGCACAGGCATGAATAAACCAGGATAAACTTCAACTCTAAGTGAATCTGGGAGACCTTGGTAGCCTAATATTGCGTTGTTCCCCTATGGCAGTGATGATGAACCTATGGCATGCGTGCCAGAGATGGCACGCAAAGCCTTCTCTGTGGGCCTATGAGCTGTTTCCCCAGCTCAGCTCCGCCACACATGTGTATACACGCCTTCTGCCGCCCAGCTGGTCTTCAGGTCTCTGCCGTGCATGCACAGGGGATGTGCGTGCATGCGTGGGTGATAGGGCACATGCACAGGGATGCATGTGCATGTGGGGGCCCGGGTGCATGCATTGGGTGCGGGGCACATGCCTGGGGGATGTGCATGTATTGCATTTTGGGGATGCGTGCGCGTGCTTTGGACCCTCCATGCCGAAAAGGTGAGCCATCACTGCTCTATCCCATCCTTATCTTCCCATCCTGTTCCTCACTTGTATTGGCACATGGATGTGAGTCAGAGAAGAGGGAGACTGTATTCTGAGGATTCACATCCATGTCCCGTGGTGTGAAAAGAAGGGCAGAAGAGAGGATGATTCGTTGAATTCTTGGTCACACTTGGGTAGTACAACAACATGAATTGTGTGGTGTCCTCAGCTTTGGTCTCTAAGGCCCATCTCTTCTTTCATAATTTTTCTGAGACTCAGCAATTCTAGTAAGGATATTTGGGGGTAGGAAATCTTCCCCTTCCATCTAACTAATTTTACCGAAATTAATAGGAATAGAGAAAATGCAATCCACCCTTTAAAAAATACCGAGGGAAGACAGGATACAAGCTAGGCTTGTTTCATGAGAAGTCAGAGAATATCTGTCTATGTCCATACGAGAGACAAAAGGGAATATGCAAACATGTGAATCTGTCAGTGATCAAGTTAATGACTATGCTTGCTTATATGGATTATGGTATGTCCCCAATGGTTGAGAGACCCCCTAAGATTCACAAACCTCCAAACATTGCTATCCCTTTTTAGTGGTCTGTTGCAATTATAGATTATCCAGGGCAGGTTTTCTCATCCTTCGTACCTGGAGAAAACTTTGAAACAATGTTTGGGTTTGTTGGAACTGTTGCATTGAAAATCACAAAAAATGTGATAACTTCAGAATGCACTTCATTTTTAACATACACTATGTTTTCAATGATTACCACATCACTACAACAAAATGGCAGACAGGCATTTGGGTTGCTGTGAGTAGAAGATCCCATTATTGAAAGTGTTAGTATTGCACTGTGTTTGAGGTGAAAGAAAATATGTCTTTTTTGTTTTTTTAAATCAAGATCTCTAGCAGAACCCCTTCCACAGAATCCAGTGGAGAAAGGTTGGCCAGGTGTCTTACCCAATGGTTGTCAAATTCACCAAGAATCACAGCAGGGGCAAAAGATCTAGCAGGATTCATGGAACAGCCAGTGTAGTAGATCTAGGTAGAAAAAAAATAGGATGAAATTAGTGATGAAATATATATATTTTCCTATGTCATTATAGTTGTGCTTTTAAAGTTGTAGCAAAGTTTTGGCAGAATCTCATCTGCCATCATCAGGCTTCTGTATTGTGTTTGTCAGGCTTTCACAGCCGTTTCTGTTTTAAATTTGGTGCTAGCCTACTGCTGTGCCAGAATGGCTTTTTCTTCATCCTGATTGGTTGGGAGTCTTGGACTGTGTTTATTGGTCTTGGAGTTTGCTGTGTTCTGCTTGATTGGTGTTTCTAATATCTTCTGTCTGTTTTGTAGCATTTTTTTTGTCTTGATTGGCTGGCAACATTGTGTTTCCTGTATTGGAAGCTTTTAGTGCAGCTTGGCTTTGGGTAAATGGATGGCTATCATTTATTAAGAAGCTAGGTTTCATCTGGGTGCCTGATTGGGGTGTGTTTGAGCTGGAGGTATGGGAGGGGGATCTGTTTGTGCCCAGGTGTTGCTTGGCTTGTGGTATAGAGATTTTTTTGTTTGTGAGTGCAGGCTTCCAAATAATTGACAATCTGGGGGAATCATCTCTTCTATTCATGCTTTCAGGTCTTTTTTCAATCTCTATGGCTTCTCTGATAATTCTGTAGCTGGGGTTTTCTATAGCGGCTAGGGTTTTGGTGCCATTGAAGTTGATGCTATGACCTGTGGCTTTCATGTGTTGGACTGGTGAGGAAGGGTGTTCCAGCTTTTTTACTGCATTTTTTGTGTTCATCCAGGCGGGTACTTATTCTTCTATTGGTCTGTCCAATGTATGTGGCAGGGCATGATGAGCAGGAGACTTCATATATGCCTTGGTTTTCCAGGTTAATTTTATCTTTGGGGTTTCTTAGGATGGCTCCTATTTTTCTGTCTGTTTTGAAGGCAGTCTTGATGTGATGCCTGTGTAGTATCTTGCTGATTTTGTCTGTAGTACCTCTTATGTAGGGCAGGACAGCTGTTCCATAGGTCTGTTCATCTTCTAGGTCTCCATTATGTCTCAGTGTGTTTTTGTGGATCAGGCCTGTGATTTTGCTTTTGTGGAAGCCATTGGCTGTCAGTACTTTAGTCAGGGTGCATAGTTCGGTCTTTATGTGTGTCTTGTCTACCAGGCGTTTGGTTCTGGCAATTAGTGTTTTGGCCATGGAGTTTATCTGTGCTGGGTGGTCGTGGGATTGGGTGTTGAGGTAGCAGTTGGTGTGTGTTTTCTTCTGGTATATGGTGTGTCCTAGTGTGCCATCTGTTTTTTTGTAGATTGGTACATCTAGGAATGGTAGTTGTTTGTTTCTGTTTCCATGGTGAATTTGATTTTGGGGTGTGTGCTGTTTAGGTGTGTTAGGAAATTGTATAGGTTTTCTTTTCCATGGAGCCAAATAACAAATGTGTCATTGATAGGTGGCATTGGCTAGGTCTCTGGATTCAAATTCTTCCATGAACAAGTTTGCAATGATGGGTGACAGTGGTGATCCCATCGGGGCTCCTTCAATTTGCTTGTATCTTTGTCCTTTGTATATGAAATATGTGTTGGTTAAGCAGTGTACTGCTAGTTCCATGAGATGTTTGGGTGGTTGGTATTTATTTTTGATGATTTTGAGAGTTTCTTTTATCAGGACTTAAGTGAACAGTGAAACCATGTTGAAACTTACAAGCAGATCTTTTTGTTCCACATGTAGATCTTTGATCATATCCAAGAGGTGGTATGAGTTTTGTACATGTGAAGCTGCTACTTCAGCATGGGGCTGTAGCTGCTTTGCTAGGTATTTGGTTAGGTTTTGTAGTGGTGCTCCTCTGGAACTGACTATGGGTCTGAGGGTTATGCCTTCTTTGTGTATTTTGGGGAGGCCGTATAGTTTGGGGCATCTGGAAGATTTTTCTCTTGAGATGATTGTCTGTTGGATCTCTTTGCTCATGTTGCTGGTTATGATTTTCTTCTTGGTTGTTTTTTCCAGATATGTGGTTGGGTCTGTGTTTATGGGTTTGTATGTGGACTCTTGGAGTAGGTCTGTCAATTTTGTTTTGTAGTCTTTTCTATCCATTACTGCTGTGGCATTACCTTTATCTGCTGGAAGTATGATTATGCTGCTGTCGTTCCTTAGGGCTTGCAGGGCTTTTAGTTCCTCTTTGTGCAGGTTGCTTTTGGGTGGCTTGCTTGTGCATAGGATGTTAGTGACTTGGTGTCTTATTCTATCAGCTTCAACTGTATTTAATTTAGTTAGGCTGGATTCCACTCCGCATATGATGGATTCTGTGGGGATTTTTTGGGTGCTATAACATAACTGAATCCTTTGGTTAGGACATCTGTTTCTGTTTTGGTGAGTTCTCTGTTGGAAACGTTGTATACTAATTGTTTCAGGTGTTGTTGTGAGTTGTTGGGGGCTTTCTTGTCATGTTCTAATTTCTTTAGTTTCTTCAGGAGTTTGTCATTTTTATAAGTGGTTTCAGTTTCAGCTCTCCAAGTTGTAAGTTGTTTTATCTTGTCCCAAAGTAGAGGGTGGATTTTGTTGCTCAATTCCAGGTGTAGGGTTAGAAGGTCTTTATTTAACTGATCGAGTTGGAATCTCTTTCTGTGGAGCTCATTCCTGAGTAGAGCCATTTCAGTTCTTTTCAGGATACGTTTTATATATGTATGTATCTATGTATCTACTGTATGTGTGTATGTATAGGTATATGTGTATGTATGTATGTATGTATGTAGGTCTAGGTGTGTTTGGGTCTTTTCCTGTGTAAGATTAAGAGTACTCTTAATCTTACATGGGAAAAGACCTGAACACACCTAGACCTACATACCTGTACCCGTGAAAATCTATGAAAACAAGTATATAGGCTTCTGTATTGTGTTCGTCTGTGAGTCAGAAAGTCTGACTCATCATCAGGCTTCTGTATTTACTGTGTTCGTCTGTGAGTCAGAGAGTCTGACTCACAGACGAACACAATACAGAAGCCTGATGATGGCAGATGAGATTCTGCCGAAACGTTGCTACAACATTAAAAACATAACTACAGTGACGTGGGAAAATACCCGAACAAAGCTGAATGCCATACATGTAAGTACCCACGAAAACTTAAGAATATATATATATATATATATATATATATATATATATGTGTGTGTGTGTGTGTGTGTGTGTGTGTGTGTGTGTGTGTGTGTGTGTGTTTTCTGAGGTTCTCATGGGTATTTGTATGTGGATCTTTGGTTATTCGGGTTTTCTCCCGCGTAAGATTGGAAGTATCTAGGCAACATTTCGATGAAGTCTCATTCATCATCTTCAGGCTTGTGTCTTCGGCTCTGTGCTTCTCAGAGTGATGTGAGTTTGCAGCTGCTTCTTCCTTTTAACTGCTAGTGAGGGTGTGACTTGATTGGGTGGGAGCTTGGCTGTGTTCTGATTGGGTGGGGGTGTGTTCTCATTGGTAGGGGGTTTGGCTGTGTTCTGATTGGTTGGGGGGCTGGCCGTGTTCTGATTGGCTGGAGGTGTGTTCTGTTCAGGTGGGGGCTTGGTTGTGCTCAGGTTAGTCTTAGTTGCTGGGGGATTTGAGCTGGTGAGCTGTGATCCTGCTGTTTGGCTTCATGTTCATGGTCGTGCTGCATCTGGTTGTGATCATGTCCCCCACCCAATCAAGTCACACCCCCACTAGCAGTTAAAAGGAAGAAGCAGCTGCAAGCTCACGTTACTCTGAGAAGCACAAAGCCAAAGACACAAGCCTGAAGATGATGAATGAGACTTCATCGAAACGTCGCCTAGATACTTCCAATTTTACGTGGGAGAAAACCCGAATAACCAAAGATCCATATGTGTGTGTGTGTGTGTGTGTGTGTGTGTGTGTAGGTCTAAGGTGTGTTCGGGTCTTTTCCTGTATAAGATTAAGGGTATCTTGGTGACGTTTCAGCGAGGTCCCACTCGCCATCCTCAGGCTGGTGCTTTCGGCTTCATGCCAGTGCAAGCAGTTTGTGATCGGAGCTGTCATCTCTTTATAAATACTGGTGGTGGGAGCTGGTGTGCTGGCCTGGTTGGCTGCGCTGCTGCCTCTTGATTAGTTGATGGAGTTGGTGTTGGTATAATGGGCTGTGTGATGGCCTTGTGAGTTTTGGAGATATCCTGGATCTTGTGTTGTAATCTCCTGGGTCGTTTGTTTTGTACTGATCTTTTTTCCATTAGCCTCTCGTGTTTTAACAGCTTGGGTAATGGGTTGTGTGATGGGCTTGCGAGTTCTTTTGTTGTGGTATTTTGGGTCCTGCGTTGTAATCTCCTGGGTCATTTGTGTTTTGATCTCTTTTCCATTAGCCTCCTGTGAGATAACGGCTTGGGTAATGGGTTGTGTGAGACTTATTGCTGTGGTATCCTTGGTCTTGTGCTGTGATATCCTGGGTCATTTGCTGTGTTGCAACTTCTTGAGTTCTTGTGGTGTAATTTCATCAGAAAATGAAAAGCAAGGGTGAGTAAATCTTTGGAGAGGATAAGAAAGCATTAGATTTCAAGAAGAGCCAAAATAATCGGGGGGTGGGGGAGTCCAAATCACTCAGGAGGAAGACTGGATTGAAATAAAAAATAAACACATACTTGAATAATTGGTCTATATATGAACTGGATGTTTTATGCCAGGTAATTACCGTATATAGATATCTCTGAATCTTAATATGGCATCTTTAAAAAAAAAGCTTCCATGCTTCTGTTAAAAGCAACATTTACTGTACTATTTTTTCAACAGAAAATCATGTTCCATTAGACTTGTCATTCTGCTGTGGCTTATCTTGCTATCTATAAATAGCATTAGCACTTAGACTTATATACTACTTTATAGTGCTTTGCAGCCTTCTCTAAGTGGTTTACAGAGTCAGCATATTGCCCTCAACAATCTGGGTAATCA